ACAATGTACTGCTGTGGTGTCTGGGGAACAGCTGACTCCAGTCTCCAGGCTAAAAGGAGAGTGGGATATCCTGGAAATTGAGGAGTGATACTAATGATAAAGGAATTATTGGCCCTGGAACCCAAAAAGTTTTCTGATCCCATCTTACCTCTGGTGTGCATGTGTGGAGGGAACCACTCGTGTGGTCCTGTTTGGAAATCTGAATCAGTGGCAGGAGCAGCCAGCTGAGCACTGCACTGCCTCGGTACTGTGGTGGGCGAGGGTGAGATGCCAGTCAGCTGCATGGCGGTTCCTGGGTGAGGAAGTCTTGTGGCACCAAGCTAGCTCCATGCAGAGCCAACAAGAGGAATTCTTGCATGAGTTGACTCGTTTATGGTGAATCAGCTTGAGTTGATGAGGACTTGACCATGGAAATTCTGTGGTGGCTAGTTCAGATGCAGGGCACTCATACGTTAACCTCTATGTCATCAGCTCTGCGTAGGGGAAGTGAAACTTCTAGAGATTCTGACATGGTACCTCTGCTTTCACAGTGGGAATGTACAATTAATGGATGGGAAAATTGAAGGGATGTGCAGTTTGAAAGAAATGTAGCTGGGCATTGTAGGTGACTTATTCAGTCATCCTAGTACACCAAGGGGTTTGCCCATGTCCTTTTCTACTAACAGCCTAGATTTCTTAAAGTTATTTTGAAACATTTTTCTCAGCCCTTAAAAATGCTCGCTTTATTAAAAAGTCAAGTATTTCTTGTAGGAGGTTTAAATACTATGCCTTAAAATCTTTATACATTGCATGTGCTGGTTTTGGCAGGGGTAGAGCCTATTTTCATCCCAGTAGCTGGTGTGGGGCTGTGGTTTGGATCTGTGCAGGAAGCAGTGTTGATAATGCAAGGACATTTTTATTAACTGCTGAGCAGTGCTTACACAGAGTCAAGGCCTCACACCACCGCACCAGCGAGCAGGCTGGGGCTACATGAGGAGCTGGGAGGGGACACAGCCAGGACAGCTGATCCCCACTGACCCAAGGGGTATCCCACACCATATGATGTCATTCTCTTCTGGGGAAGAAGGAAAGGGGAGCGTATGGAGTTATAGCATCTGTCTTCCCAAGTAACTGTTACACGTTCTGCTTTTGCTTTACCATTAAACTGTCTTTATCTCAACCCACAAATTTTCTCACTTTTACTCATCCTATTCTCTCCCTCATCCCACCAAGGGGGCATGGGGTGAGCAGCTAGGTGGTGCTTAGTTGCTATCTGGGGCTAAACCACAACAATGTGTATGTGCATATATTCTGAACCAGTTGGAGTGTTTTTCCTGCTCACCATCCTCACCTGAAACACCTCTGGCTATGCTCTGAGACCCACCTTGGTTATGTAGTTTTCTGTCTCCTCTCCATGCACAGACCTTATGGCTGCTGCTTTTGCATCAGCTTGCAGGGCTTGGGAGCAGCATGCTTTGTCAGCAGAACAGCTTTGTCAGACCTGGTGGGGTTGACAGTGGCCCAAAGCAGAGTAAACACTTTGATGAGCATGAGAGGAACTGTGAATGATTCTCTGCTTGCATCAGTTCTACTTGTGTGAGTGACTGCTAGACATACTTCCCCCTGAAAATGCTGGCTTCAGTGTTATTAGCATGTGGCTAAAGAGTGTTATTTTTAAAGGAGGTTGATGGGATTTGTGGTGAGGCTACAGCCCACCATGGTGCAGAGACCCAAGACCCCCATGCTAGCACTGAGCTGGACAGGGAGTCTGAGCTGTTTCTCCTGCCTCTTTGTCTGTAGCACTATTTTTAATAACAGGTGATTTTTTAGCTTGAGCACAGCAATGGACAGTCCAGGTTTTGGGGACATGAGTTGGCAGACAGGAACAGTATTTCTGGCTCCAGAGTTGGCACGAGTGGAGTCAGCTCAGGTATCTCCAATGTTACCTGTGGGTGTAAGTCCTTAGACTTACCCCTTGTATTCACAGTATAGTGCCATTGAGATGCTGTCCACTGGAGGACAAGGGCCAGCCATTGTCTCTGGTAGTCAAAAAGATGGTGGTCAGTGTCTCTTTCAAATGAGAGGAGGTGCAACCAGTATTTTCAGAAATATTCCTGCTCCCACTGAAAGCCAAATCTAGTCATGTTGCTCAGACAAAAAGTACATTTTGATTCCTGGCTATGAATCAAGTGAGGAACAAAAGAGCTACCCCTCTTTGATGGAATGTTGCCATCATGATACTGCAAGGGTTTCCTTTCCTCTTTTCTGTAGGGCTGAAGCTGAGTGGTTACTGAGGACTGATGGGTATCAGCCTTGGCTCACTGCACCACAAGTATCAGATTGTTTAGAGAGATCTCAAATGCCCTGGATGCAGCAGGAACTATAAAAAGGCAGTAAGTCCAAGGCATTTGTGGGCTTTCTGCCCACAAGGATCACATGTAAATATATGCTCATTACCTTGCTTTGGAGGCTAGTGCTGATATTGAGACATCTATGAAAGCATTTTTCACAGTGCTTAGGTTCATGCATGAAATCATCTTTATCCATTTGGAGGGGCAGTGTGATGAGTTACAATGGTAATCCTTCACTGATGGGAACTGAGAAGGCTCCATAACACTTGCTCTGCAAGGCTTGCATCAGCATTTATCACTTATTCTGGGCCAGGATTTTGTAGGCAGCCAACATGAGTGTCTTAATTTAACCAGACCAACATAACTTAAATCTGTCTTAAGCTGTAGATGTTCCAAAATCCTTTGCTCTAGATAACTTTTTCGTTCTGTTGTCTATGAGCAATATTAGCATCTTTCTCCATGACATTCACATTCAGTTCTAATCAGATTGTAAAAGGAAAACATCACATACAACATGTGAAAATAGCTCTTTCCAGGCAGTTTGGAAACACTCTGACAAGTACTTTGATAAGTTTTCAATAAACTGCCACTAAACAGGGGAGAGAAGCAATTGAAGCATTTTCCTCTGCATTGTTTTTGGTTAAAACACAGGAAGCCGGTGAAAGGTCTGTAGCCCAGTGTGCTCCCTGGGCCAGGGCAAATTCCCATTCACCCAAGGAGCATGGACATAGGCATTGGTAAAGCTTTGAGTAAAAGAGAAGGGAAAATCCACCTGGGTACATCCCACGGATGGGTCAGTGTGTTCCAGTGGTTTCTGGCTGGCAATGTTGTGAGTAAGTACAGTGAATGAAGAGACCTACCACACAGAACAGCCAAATGCCAAATTCTCAATCCTGTTTTGTGAGGCATGCTTGTGTACATAAGCAGGGTTGTGTGCATCCATGGTATTAACATATATAGAACAGATGATGTGATTTTGGCTGTCTGGCCTAATTCCTTGCCAAGTTTCCAGTAGCTTAATCATGATCTAATTTGAAATAATTAAGTCAGTTATGGGTTGTTTTTTTTTTTTAGAACTGCTTTTTCATCTTTAGGCTATGAATACCATCAGTGCAGTCATGGCTAGAATTATTTTTATCATTAGCTATAATTTTAAATGATCAAGTTTACAAAATTCTCCATAAACAAAAATCATCAAAGCAGATTACTAACTGATGATCCTGAGCTCTGTCCCAACAGTTGTGCCATAAGGTGATGTGACAGCCATGGGCCTAAACTTGTGAGCTTTTATAAAGTTGGTGTGTAAAGTTTAAATCCAGACTTGCATCTAGAATTTTTTTTTTTTTAATTCATGTTATATCATCTATCACATTCCTGGCTGACAAAGCTTCTTGACCAAAAAGTGTTGAAAGTCTAGGTCTGATTTTCAACTGTGACCATTTATTAGCTTAAACCAATACACAACTTAAACATAGGCAGTATGAGGGAAAATTTGGGTTGAGTGGGAATATATGGACACATGTTGTATATTTGGTTTGCTTTGTTAGAAAACATTAAGTTCTTGATCTCCGCTCTATTAAAAAAAAAAAAAAAAAAAGCATGTGATGGAAATTTACAATCCATACCTTATTTTGCACTACTTGTACAAATTTCTTATAAGTTTTAGAACTAATTACAAATAAAATGCAGTATTGGACTACCCACCTTCCTGAAATCAATTGCTTTGAGTATCATCATGTCTAACTAACCGAGACATAAATCTTTCTAATGGATGGACATGTGCAGAAGTACAAGCATAGGGCTTTCATTTTAAACTAAAGGAACTCTCTGGCTGCAGCTAGTGAGAGCCCAAGTTTTCTTCATAAGATTTTTCTCATATTCTTAAAATTGTATTTGGATTCAGTTTCATTTGAGTATGTTTTTGATTTGTCCAAAGAGCAGATGGCTATGATAAAGAGTCTGTATTTAACTTGGCACCTTCCATTCCACATTCCTTTACTATTCATAGCACAGCAGTCATACTCATCTGCAGTACACATAAAAAGAGGCAGCTCAACTTGCAGCTGCAGATCTTCTCAGATGTTTGAGAATTTACAAACTTACTTACAGCATTATTTTTTTTAAATGGTGAGAAGACCAGATGCTGATACAGTGCATGGATTTTTTCTTTTCGTTATCTATCACTCTCATGAAATGAGAGACACTGGGACAAAAATTAAACGTGTGCCTGTATTAAGGAACCTCTGCGCTTAAAATGAGTCACACAGAGCCCATGTTCATATGGGTAGAGTTGGGCTAGACATAGCCAGAAAAATTTGCTTTTGAAGACCAAGTGTGGGATTTTGGTCTAAAATGTCAAGCAGCAGGAAGAATAAAACATTCATCTGAACAAGATGACTACTTAAAATGTAAAAGAATAAAGGCATCCATGCTAGAATAATGCCTTTTTATTACCAGGGGTTCACAAGGAAGAATTTGATCTTTTGAGTATTTGTAAACACTACATTTTTCTTCAGTTGCTAATAAATAGCAGAGTAGGTTAAATAAAGCCAATTTTCTAAATGTCTTTGAATGTTTTGTTTCAAATTATCTGTCTTTGACAGAAAGTATAATTTCTACTTGCTGTGTTTTCAAACAAATATAGTCAGTGATTAACTTTTTTTCTTCTAGTTTCAAACATGCAACACGCTTCTAAAAAGTAATCTCTCATGGGTTTTTTGTATACAAGCTTGAACTGCGGAAATAGTTGTTGTTTTTTTTCCCTGATAGTATCCTTCAGTTTGTCTGCTTTTCCAGACCCTAAGGAAGAAAAAGTCCATCTCAAAAATTAGAAAAGAGATTTTTTGGTACATAGATTAAATTTCCATAAGACTAAAACCCTGCCTATTTCTTCTTTAATCATTACGACTATATACGGCAAAAGCTTATTCCTTAGAAATATAGCTCCTCCTACTGAACTCATAAATGTGTTTTATTTTCAATATGTTATCAAATAGATTTCTTTTTCTCCTGCTGTAATGAGCTTAAATTCTCTGCTGTTCAAAAAGCCTGGCTTTCCAACACATATGTTGCTGGAGGCAAGCAGTCTGACACTTCACATCAAACAATGAACTCAGTATACTGAAAAATACATACAAAGATTTTCATTTACTGCAGTGTAAATACAGCCACATGCTTACTACACTCTACAGCATTGCTCGAATTATATTATTTTGTTATATTAAGAATGGTTTTATCTCACCAATAAACTATGGGCAAGTTTCTAATTCTTTCCCACAGAGTTCTTCATTTCAACAACCAGAATGCCATCATGGCAGAATAGCGCAGACAAGTCTTTGTTCTCCACTCCATCAGGTAACTTGTATTGTCTGGTAAAGCTTCTGGATATGAAACCATGTTCATCCATCCTGGGTCCATGCTGAGCCTTGATCAGGAGCCAGCCCTCAAAAGTCTGAATAATGATATCTTCGGGGCGGAACTGCACAACGTCCAGTAAGACCTGGAAGCCTGTGTTTTCCTCCTCCTGGCCACTCTTCCCAGCCTCAGCTGTACTTTCTGCAGTACACCTTCTGTTGCTCTGTGCAGCTGTAGAAGGACCTGGCAAAGCGTATAAAGAGTGGTCCAGTTTGTGTGCTTCCAGCTCTTGGACCGCAAACTGCTCTTGGTAGCGTACAGGAGTTTCCACCCAGTGTCTTATAACAGCTTCCGCCATCGCAGAGGCAGAAAGGTAAGTTGCTGCTCCTGTAGCTTTGGGGAAGCTGTAGTCACAGCAAACTCTTCCCAGTCATATGCCTTACCCGCAGACTAGTTTATCGGTTCATGTTGCCTTTCACTTTTAGCACAGGCAGAGCTTAACATTTAATAGGGCATGCTGTGCTCCAGTGACTGGAGACTGGTTTCATCTTTTATCCACTAACAATACAGCACTATTTATAGTGCTGAGGTCTTGAGTGGCTTCAACACATGCACAGCTCTCATGCGTAAGTAGTGAAAGCAAAATTTTAATGAACCTCTGATTATTGCAATATTGTGCTGTTTGTTGTTAAGAATAATGAACAGAAAAATACTGTGAAAGATTCTTTGATTTAAATGGAAGCATAATGATTCTACTTTTCCAAGGGATACATAGCAATAGATACAACCTCTGTGTTTCTTCTAACCGAAATAGGAAGTTACTGCAGGAAGAGATTTAATTAGCTTGACAGTAGGAACAGAGAAGATTTCAGATTAGGCAAACTATAAAATCTATCAAGTGCACTGGACTTTGTTGTAGAAGTTGTACATAGGTGAAATACAAGCATGGTTAACCATATTACTGGCAATAGGAGGGAACCATAGCCATCCTTGCCCAATGTGGGGGTGCCTGAAAGCCTGGGTCTGCAATCTTAGTGACCTAAAAACACAGAAGAGCCTTCTCCAGCGTGACACAGTCACACTCAAGAGTGCAGGGGAATTACAGTTAAAGCCCATGCTTCACAGCTTCCAGGAGAGGGCAGAGCTATTTGCCCCAGCAGAATTGTAAACATAACTCAAAATCCTTACAGCTACCAAATTGTCTTAGTAACCTTGATCTTCTGAGGCTTAACAGCTTGAATGGATGTTCCTACCTACTGCATGTGTCTGGGGAGCAGGACTGGTGACCTAAAAGGCTCCCAGTGTTGTAATCTTCCTGCTAGCTTGGGAGTGCAGGGGAAATAATACCTACAAGTGTTAATAGTTTAGTTTGATGAGACCTAAGAGGAAAGAGCAACGAAAAGACAAAAGCATTCCCATATTTTAGTATGTTTGCTAAAAAATCCCTCTAGCTGGACTTGGTAATGTAAAGCAGAATGCATTATGGCAATTGATGGTGAGAACTCTTTATTTCCCTCAGTTGCAGTAACGCTAGAAACAATCAAATGAGAGACTTTCATTATTTCTTATTTGGCTGTTGTTGTTTAAAGCTCAGTCTCTCTCTTGTCCTTACATCTTCCACTACCATGAAAAGGGCACATCCGTTTATATGGGATCTTTGGTTGCTAATGGATTCACAAAGGAAGAGGCAGTTGAATTTCGATAGCTGTGAGAAATGAACTTCTGCATCAAGTCAATAGCAGAGCATGATTGCCAACCAATCCTATCATTAAAGTTCTAAGGTTACTAATTTATTTTTGACTTATGAAAGCTGCACCTCAAGGTAAGGAAATTTTGAAAGGTAGATCAAAGGTTCAACATGACTTACATTAATGGCCAACCATTTAATTGAATATTGTGGAAAAGAAGAGCTATGCTACTTTATTTAAGGCAGGCTCTTCTCCTGTCAAACTGTCCTCTAGAAATCATTAAAAAATGCAATTCTGAATGTATGGCTTGCTAAAATAGTCCTAAAAATAACCTGGAACATTGCCCATTATCTGTTCAGTAGCTGTTTTCTGTTTTGCTAGTCAATGATTCACTTGGTGAGGAAACTTTAACCCTGAGGTGAAGCAGTACGCCAGGTTGGTTGTGATATTATGCTTTTAGAGATACCTGAAAGTTATTGCGTCCCTACTGAATTCTGTGATGATAGCTTGACTTATTTTACTTCAGTTTTGCACTTCATTAGTAAACATTCTGTGTAGGAATACCACATTCTTTTATGTTTTTTAATTTTATTTAAGTTATTCCCATCTTCTCTGGAAAAAGATAAACTTGCCTAAACTTACACTTTAAATGAAAACAGAAATCACCACTTCAGTGCAGGTCACTGTGGGACAGCTATGTCTATTTCCAGAAACAGTTGTGTTAGTCTTTCAAATGTCTATGTTAAGCATACTTGGAACTGTCTGTCTGGTCTAATTAGCACAAAAGATGCTTTGAATGCCCTTTAAATTCACGTCATATGCAAAGCTCTACAGAAGTTTATAGGATACTTTTCTACTGTGTAGGACAAGGAGTTAGAAGGATTTTAGTAATGAAGCTGTTTAGCCTCTTCCTGCTCTTCCATTGTGCTCCCTCTCCCAGCCCCAGTCCCCTTTTTCTCTCTTTTTGCCACCTATGGGCTCAGGAATTATCACAATCTTTCCTACCTCTTTGTTGCTAACACAGAGCATATGTAAACTGAAAAAAGAAAACACCCTTGAAATGCAAACGTCCCAGCAAACCAGAATATAGCCTTTCAAGTTAAATATGGATGTGATGCTGCAATACTGAGGAACTTCTGATCCTAATGCAGCTTCAAATAACTTTAAGAGTCAAGCAATGCATTTTAATAACTATTGATTATTGAGGCCATTTTAAACCTCAGCACATCTGGCAGGAGCAGGATCAATGTCTTTAATTGCCAGCTCAGTGCCTCGGGCTTTCTTTCCCAGTTCTCCTGCGCATGTGAAAGCCTTGCCCAGTGCTGCTCCGTGGCGTGGGGAGCATTGCCGAGCTGTTCTTTGCAAGGCTTTGTGAAACTGAGCCAGTCAGTTTACGGCGGCCTCGCCCGTCCGTGCGCACTTAGGGCCCCAGTACCTCCTGAGGAGCTCTGAAGGAAAGGAACGGGATCCATGGGTTGGGAGAAACACGGGGCAGTATAAACGGGTCACACCGCCATCTTGTGGTGAGATCAGAAAACAGCGGTAAAAGAAGGCCACACGCCACTCGGTGCGTGCTCACAGCAGGTATCGTTGCTGTTCTGTGAAATACTTGCATGGAAAGACATCAAAGGAATAAAACTGCAAGATTTTAAATTACGACAGGTTATTTTCAAGCTAATGCAAGGTTTTGTGTCAGTATTTTGGAGGGGGAGGGAATAAACGTTTGATTCATGTTGAACCCGTGGAGTATCCAGAAAGCAGTTACCCCAGTAAAGCTGTGTTTGTTGTAAATTGTAAGAATGTAAGGTGCACACACTCCTGAGATTAACTTTTTTTTTCTTTTCATGCATATGCATATATGTTAAAAAACCATAACTTTAAAATAAGAGATTGCCTTGTTGCAATTCTCTTCATGTTGGATTCCCCAAAGTGAAATATGTATTTCAGCTACCATTAAAATTCAGTTAACAGCTGAAGGGAGAAAAAAAGTGAAAAGGCTGGCATTATGAAGAGAACAAGAACTCTTCTAGCAAATGCTAGCAGGCTAATTTCAAACTAGAGCCATATAATTATCCAAATGAATTTAGGCAGAGCACAAAGCACACAAGGATGCCACTCATGATCTACTTAACATGTCATTCAAAAGAGATACTGTCACTTCAGACTTGGCAATACATAAGAAAGAGAAGGAAGAGTAGGACTTCAGGGCTTTTACCAGTGCTAGCTCTGTTATATCCAGTAGGGAGTTTAAGCTTTGTGGTGATACCATAGAGCTGGGCAGTAAAATAAAATGTATGCAAGAATGGGACCCAGGGTGACAGTTACAGAAACTGGATGAGAAAGAGCTATTTTCCACAAGGTATTTAATATATTTTTGTAGAGTGAGAAAATTACTGTCTCCTACTTGTGTCACTTTGAGTCCACTACCCCTTAGGACCCTGAGTTGTCCTTTTAGCTGGACTGTTAGATCTGTATGTATGTAAGCTCTGAAGGAATCAAAATGTGAGCAGAACTACTGCAAGTGTCTAATCAGCAGTTACCACGTGTTGTGTTTTCAAGAAATATTGAGCTTTTTTATTAAACCACGACATGTCTCATTCCAGTCACATGGTATTTATATTGGTCAGTGAATCACAACATAACTCTTTTTGCAGTAAGACTTCATGCTGTGTTATAAAATTTCTTGCAAGTTGTAAAGCCTGTGTTGTTACACAGCTAACTTAGCTGAAGGAAGGCTTCAGTCCATGGGTCATGTCCTTCAAAACCTGGAAAAGGCTGGATCTGCCTAACCTCTTGGAAAATCTCTCCAGGGCACCGATGCCCACCTGTAACTGTAAACTTGATCTCTTAATATTAGGGGCCTCTTAAGAAGTGGAAAACTAATCTCAGCTCTTGCACTAAGAATCAAGTGTTTGCTCATTTGTCAGGAAGCTATGTCAGAAGTAAGCATGGAAAGAGGTGTCATTTTGACAATCTACAACAAAAGGGTTTTTTGACATGTTGAGATGGTAGAAAGGCAGGTGAAGGATGAGGATGAGGGTTGACAGGACCACAGCAGCTGCTGTAGGAGCATCATCTTTACAGAGTAGTGAAGGAATAACAATGCAACTTGTAATAATGATTTAAAAATTTCAAGTTACTATAAAAGTTAGTTTAAAGTGATGTCATGGGACTCTCCACAAGTATTTGCTTTGTTATTCACGTGGCTTGTTTACTAAATATTTTTATGTCTGTTACGGGCAATTGCATCTCTGCCTCACAAATACTTCAGGGACTCCTTTAGAAAGCAAACTATACTATTTTATTTAAAGTGATAATAATCTGTTTACTTCTTGTACACAGAACAGTAGTGACAACATGAACAATTGAAAGAGAATAATGTGCCTGAGGGCTTGGAAGCTCTGTTTTGCCACTGAAAGGCAGGATCTAATGCACTCTTACTGTAGAAACAGTCTTATTTTTCACTAGTTAAAAATTAACCAGTGTTCCAAGAAGAATGCCAGTTTTCAGGTCTCTTCCTCCTCTGCCTCACTGAAGTCTTGAGACTTGATAGGAGTAATTAACACAAGGCAGCTGAGTACAGTAAGTCTTGTGTATTTATTTTGGATCTGTCTAAACTTTATAGCAAGTACTCGCTTATTTAGGATGTGAAACTCCTATTCCATGGATCAGATCTTCAGGTTTGCATGTTTTGAGGTTGACCACTTTAGGAAAAACAATAGCATTACTGAAAATATCACCTATGAAGTTCTGGGAGTAGGAATACTTCTGCTGTTTAAAATTAGGTACTCCCTGAGGCTTCTAGGGGTTAGGGCTGGAAAATCTAGGATCCAAATTATGCATTAAGCATTCTAACCATAATCAGTACCCCCCCCCCCCCCCCCCCCCCCCACCCCCACCCCCGGATCTCATTTTCTTTATTTTTTTCTGAGAGCAAAGTTAAGACTGAAGTTAAGTAGGTAGAATGAATTGAAGACCTGGTGTGCTGATGCTCTGCATACATTTGTCTAATTACTTACCAGGAAAATAACTGAACTTACTAAATGAATTTTGAGGGTTAAAGTGTTCTCTATATTGAAGTGTTAGAAAGGATTAAAGGGATAATTGAACACACTTACTGCTCATCTACCATGAAAATACCATATTATGACATGAGTGCTAGAATCAAAACTTCTTGCAGAATACATATTTCCATGTACTTAGGAAATTTTAGCTCTGTAGACAATATTTTTTCAAATATGTAGAGTGGCCCTTGATACAAAAGTTTTGTGTGCCTTTAGCCAAAATCTGCGACTTTGGCACTGTATGCTAATTGAAGCCACTCACTTAAGGCATCCTGCATTGCTGCATCCTGTGAGTGTGTCTTGAGGGCGCAGCTGTAAACAGTTAAGATTTTTCTTTAACATAAAAATCCATGAAAATTTCTCCAAATAACATAAAAGTTACCCACCACCATGTATCACCAAGGTGGGTAAGTTCACTTTAAGTTCCCTAGGGCCAAGCAAAGAATCCCTGATCACACAGCCCAAACCTTGTTGAGGCTGAGAGTCAACATGGGGCATTTTGCCGGGATAGAAACACCTCATCCAGAAAGTTCTTAAAAAGCAACTGCTGTGATTTGACAGAAATTGACAGGAAGTTTGCCATGGTTAGCGAGCAATTCCTTTCTGGAGTGACATAAATGTGCTGTTTGATGTCAATGTACCTTGGGAATTAGCTTCTATGATGAGCCTCTTTAACTATCAAGGAGCAGCTGGAAACTGGGTAGGTCAGTAATGAAAATGGGAGGCTTGCCCAAAATTTCAAGTTTAGAGTTACTGATAGGGGACTGAGGGTGACCCAATGCTACTTCATATGCTGATACAGCAGATAATGTGAAATTCATCAGTAGCCACACCTCCGTTCTGTGGGCCACCTATTTCTATCACAAAGCCAGCCTTGGCCCTGCATTACCAGTCTTAGAAGGAAAGCAAATAATTCATTGGCAAAAATACTACCTCCCCTTGCCTGTCCACATGGTGAAAGCCAACCAAAATCTGGCTCCTCTGTCAAAATTGTTATTTCCTTCAGTGTTGGAGTTAGAACAATGTTCTCATATTGTCTTCATTTCCTGACTTTGGCAATGCCAGGAAGGCTGCAGATGTTGTAAAATCTGATGTTAGAAATCCTTTTTTTTATAGGCAGGGTTTCAGTGAAGTCTGAGTAAATCAAAGTAGTTCTGATATATAAACCACATAATCCTTTTATCTTCATTGGAGTTGCACATAGTGCAATTCAGTGTAGAATTTACATCCTTAATTTTAACATTATTATCCATAGTAGTTCTGAAATTACATGTTCTTTCATAGACAGCACTTGGCCAGACCTTTCTTTAAGAATACAGATTAAATTTACTGTGGATCTTGATTTACAAGACTTGGACAGGTATAGACTTCCACAGACATGAGTAGTGAATGCTTTAATGAAGTGTTAGGCTTGAAATTTAAACTTTTTTACCCCTCTCTCTTATTTGAGCTTCTGTTCACACTTATTAATATTTGAAATATCTGAAAACAAGTCTTCTGGCTTTGTACACTTAGAATCATAGAATCGTAGAATAGTTAGGGTTGGAAGGGACCTTAAGATCGTCAGGTTCCAACCCCCCTGCCATGGGCAGGGACACCTTGCACTAAACCATATCACCCAAGGCGTCGTCCATTACCCCTTGTCCTATCACTACAGTCCCTAACGAAGAGTCCCTCCCCAGCACCCCTATAGGCCCCCTTCAGATACTGGAAGGCTGCTATGAGGTCACTTGCCTATATGCAAAGATTCCATGTCACATAGGTTGGAAGAAATAATTGGAGACTTGTTTTTCTTCTTAAAAGAGTCATCATATAGCATACTGCAGAATCTCACTCAGTGTTTACCATACTCTCTATGCTATGATCTTTGTACATGCATTTATATGACCAGATACCTGGTCAGTACATAAGGTAGTGCTTTCTTTCCATTACTGCAATACTTTCCTCCCAACAAATACTTATCAATAGAGGTATTTTTATAATAATATAGAGCAGAATTGATATACAAAATCTATTGCTTGTATGTTGTTCTACTGAAAGTCAGAAATTCCTTAAACTTCATTATGCTAAGGTTTATGTTTATATAGTATGTTTTGCAAAATATAAAATATTTGTAGTGAGATCATGTTTATAAAGGCAGATTCAACTCCTGTGTTACAGAAACTGTTTTATTTTCAGAGTAGAAGCTCTTTTTTTCCATATTAATTTTGCTGTAACAATGAGGCAAATTAGGTCTGTGCAGACTAATAGGATAGTTCTGCAATCATATTTGAAATACTGGACTTTAGAGTGATTACCTATTCTTGGAGAGAAGTTTCAAAAAATAATTCAGATCCTTGCAATTTTTTACATTCTTATTTTAAAATTTGAAGTATGTCAGCTATTCTGTGTAGATAATAGCATTCTTTGGGGCTGGTCAAAGATAGTTACAGATGGCCGAAGAGTATAGGTTCTGTTATTTATAAACTGAAGTGCTGCTTCTATGTGTTAGTGTGATGAACAAAACCACAGCGAGATCATTCAGAAGAGTTAATCATAAGCAGAACCAGAAACCACAGAGAGTGCTTTGATATGCAGTCAAAGGAGTTAGTGCTATTGGTATTTTCTATCAATTCAAAATATATGCGGTTATATAGAGAATGTCTGATGGATGGATAAAGAAGTTAGAAGCAGAGAAGGAGAGTGAAAGACAAAATGGATATAGAAAAGTATTCTAAACCTGAGGAAATTTGATTATTATGTGCAAGCAAGCTCTTATTCAACAAAATATTCTGAGTGATAGCAGCCAAAGGGAGCTGGATATTGAATAATGAGTGACTGTCTGTCCAGCTTGCCAACTCCCTTCTCACATTGCTATTCCCATGGCATTCAGTGAGGATATCAGAGGAGCAAAGTTTGCAGGATTAAAACTTATTCTAGCAACAATCTAGGAGAGAAAAAATCACTGGGCAGTTTCAGATGGACTCCACGCTGTCTTCCTGCTATTTATTTTCTATCACTGCTGGAATTTTGCTGTGGAAACAAATAGCAAAGAAAACAATAACAGGATTAAGAACAATGACAGACGATGAAGTCACATACCAGTGGTTTACAGCCTGTGACATTTTTTTTCCACTGGTGCAATATTCGATTTTTTTTAATTTATTTTTTTTTCCTGGCAATAGTTTTGCTTTTATGTACAACATTTTAGGGTTAAGCACATAACCCAGCTCAGGAGGGGACTCTTTCTAATTCCTCCCTACTTTGATACAGTATGTACAGGGTTTTGTGTTTTTTTCAGTTCTCCCACCTGAATCTGTGTAATTTGGAGAGAGGTACCTTTCTAATCAGGAACAAAAATTATGACCTCAGTTGCCAAACCATTCTTCCCAGATATAGGGAGCCATAGAGAGCTAGCATCAGTGAGGAAACAATAGTAATGAACTCCTCTATGAACCATAATTCTGGAAGGGCTAATGTGCACAGACTGCACAGCAACAGAGATGTGGGACCAACATACAAACAACTGGTAATTCTGTAGTCCTGGGGATTCTGTAATTCTAGTTTAGCACCATAGAAAATCAGCATCCTCTAAGGTTAGATACTGAAACAATGCAAGAGGACTCTGCTATTTTGAGATCAAACTAGTTTGCCATTCTTATTTCACTTGTTCCCAGAGTCAAAAATGCATCGTGATGATACTATAAAAAGACACTGGACTATTCTGTAATGTGGAGAAGTGTTTTTTAGTTATTCTACTGCTGCAGTTCTGCACTCTGATTATGAGGATACTTGAATTTAGTATTTCCTCTCAGTAGATGTTAAGTTTTGAAGGCACTTTACATGCCCTGTTAATTTTAATTTTCTGATCTAAAATGTTAAACATTTTTTTCACATATTTTAGGCTTATTTTTATACACATCCAAGTGTGAAGTAAGCATTTAGACAGCTAGGTAATATGGTTACAAAAGATGCTTGCCATATACTAATTACATATGAGATGCATGACTGCTAGCAAAATTCGGCCCAATTTGAACATGTAAAAGGCATTAATGGCTTCCAAAATGCAGCTGCTAAAGTCACTTGTCCTCAGGAGCTTGTTAGCCTTAACATCCACATCTCATAGCTGAGATGGGTGAGTTCATTAAGGTTTATCTTTCTGCTTCTAAACTGTCTGCTACATGTCAGATATGCCTTTTGTACAAACTAATATGGAGTTAATTGCCTGCATTTACAGAATGACTGGACTGGTCCCTTGTGTTACCAGATATAACCTCTGCAGCTATTACCTCCATATGCAGGATAAAGGCTAGCAGAAATACCTGGGTCCATTAGCCCAAGCTTTGTTTGACTACAGCAGCCCTAAGCTAGAATGTCAAGAGCTTGGAATGTCAAGAGCTGATCTGCAGCAGTGTTACACATTGAGAACTGTACTTCCAAGTAATATTAAAAGCGGTCTGGCTGGGATGCTGCTTGATACTAAATATTGCAGAATGCTGTCTTGTCTTTTATTAGGTACTCAAAATCGATAGATGCTTTGACCTTTTACTTCACATGCCTCATTCCTGCCTCTGAAAGAAAAGCATTAAAGGATTGTTATAGAAATGAACTAATTAATATCTATGAAGCACTTAGTACCGCGGCACGTCCCACAGCAATGAATAATTCTGTCCTCTGACAAGATTTGACAAGTAGTGAGTAAATAATACATTAGGCCGCACAGCAATAAGAACAGTAAAGAAGGAGGAAAACTGAATACTAAGATAGTAGTCAAATGGAAAATATACAGTAGAGTTATATAATTGGACAGTACATCATAACAGACTGAATTAAAGCTGCACAGGAATTCTGAAATCTTGCATCTTTTTTCTAAATGCCTGATTTCAGCAGTAGCTTTCATATTGTGTTTTGACCATTTACTGTGCAGCAGCCACCATTGTCAGGTTTCTAGTCCTCTCTGTTTTTCAGCATGAAACGTAATTGGCTGATGTGGTAAACTGAAACCTCTTGGCAGTCCCTGTCTGGAGACCACATCTACTGGATATGTTCTGCCCACTACCGATATATGAGAACTTTCCTTCTGCAGCAGGAATGCTATCAGGAAAGTTAGGCAGGACATGGTAGGTTCTAGTTAAAATGCCTCTACTGGAAGTTTCCATTTGTATCCCACTGAAATTATTGGGAATGTTACCCATATATGTTTTAAGAAGTAATAAGTTTCGGACCTGTGAAAGCCAGGTATCAAACACAGAACATGTGAAAAACATTGTTTTTCTGCAGGGCTCATTAAGTTCTGAGATAGTGAATTAATATGTGTACTGAACAGGTTGAAAATGAAGAATTAGTGATCAATACTAATGAGAATAATTTGCTCTAAACACAAATGTATTGTGCTTTTGCACACAATATATACAGCTTTACATGAAAGATTCTCCCAGTCTCTGGTTACTTTAGTACCACAACTTATGATTTTTAATGTGTTCAGAGTAACATTAATCTTTAGCCTTAATTCCTTCAGTAAGTATTAACAGAGTTACGTTAATGAATTAACAGACTCGCCTTCCTCGTCTTCTTAAATACTCCACATAGAAGCAAGTGATCAAATTTCATGTTAGTTATATAGAAAAGTTCAGTTTATTTTTTAGCCAGGACTAAAAAAATCAGGTATGATTCTAATCTGTGCTGAAATAACCAGAAATAAAATAGAACAGATATTCCTCCTCACATATTCTTCAGATGGGTTCAAGACAAAAAGACTTGACTTTGGCTGCTGGCCTTTCCCTCAGGGAAAAAAAGGAAAAACACGTTAGTGAGAGTCAAAGGACCCTGTAAAGCATGCTTTGGACTTGCTCCCATAGCTGAAATCTATACAGTTACTGCACAGAATACCTGACTGTTAATGAGCTTTTAAAAAAACTGACTATTGTGACCTGTTTCCCTGATCTGAGATTCAGATTTGGCTGAGGTCTGTCAACATCTTTTAACTTGTGATCCCCTTCATTCCTTCATGAGCCAGCTATGTGCCAGTTTTTCCCATCCTCAGGACTATGTGGCTTACGCCAAAAGGACAAATGCAGTTTACTCCTATCCAAGAATTCTTCCAGGTGGACTCAAGAGTATTCACACCCTTGTCTTGCTCTCCCACCTTTGGATCTGTAATCACATATAGGATATACGACAGAAATAAACCGAAATGGCTTAAAACACATGCAGTCTTCAGATTCTCATCCCAAACCCATGTAGTAACGCTGGGAAAATAGGGACAGTGCTATAGTTCCCACCCACACAGTTAATTGCCTGAGTGGAAACGCATTTCAAAGTGCATGCCCTCTGTTGTATTTATACCTATCCCCCGACTGTAATGCAGCTGAGTTTCTGAGCAGCGTAAGTCTGCTGCCTAGCCTGCCTGTAGTATCACCAGGTTTGAGCTGTTCAGATGATCACAACTAACTGGTTTCATTGCTCACAAGACAGGTTTATAATACAGATGCCAATACATTAGCAAGAAAGAATAGCTGGGCTTGTGGTTAGGGCACTGACTTGGGAGGTAAGAAATCCATTCTTGGCTCTTGACTCGTGCTCTCTCTCTCTCTCGCGCTCTCTCTCTCTTTTCTCTATGACTTCTGGCAAACCACAGCCTTTCTGCTCCATATTCGTAGAATTGGGGAAGAGGTATCAGGATCATAGCCTTATTTAGATTGTGAAGCTTTTTAGGGAGGACAGTATCTTCTAAAACATGTATGCAAAAACTCTGCCACAGAGACGAGACAGCATATGAAGCTTCCAAAGGAAAAACACAGAGCAAGCAAGAATCATAAGAATTGTGAAGTATGAAGGTGTATCACTAGTGACAGAGACAAAATTGAGTTTAATGTGAATACACCTTTAATATTGCTAGTGAAACCAAAGAACAGATTGCTGACTCAGGTATCAGAGGTGGACTTACTGGAAGGGATAAGCCCTCCCCCCTCCTCTATTACGGCACCAAGAATGTCCCTTGCTTTATGGGATGTGATAGCATAGTACTGGATGGCTGCATCCAGTGCCACAGGCTGAGTTGTCTTTATAATGCAACTGAAAATTGAAAGGTACAGCAAGTGGAAGATGAGAATACAGAAAGTAAGAAAGCATGTCATAATAAATTTTGCCAAATGGATGCATATTCAGTAGAAACAAAGATGTTTCCAGCAGATTTACCTTTTGCTGCTCTTGAAAATGTAAATGTAATTTTATTGCCTGTTTGTATGGCTTTTGTTTTATTCACCAGTAGAAAATTAGTTTGCAAATAAAACACAAAAGAGTGCCTATTGTAGGTTTATTACACTATAGTACTATTAATGGATTCTGTCTACAAAAAGCTTTTACAGGATGATTGCTTGAGTTCAATTTAAAAGTAACAATTGTAAGCTCACCTTTCTGACTTCTATTGGGCAAGGTTCATACTGAAATTGAAATTTCAATGCATAAGGACTGAAAAGGAGCAAATGGACAAAAGGATTAAATATTTATTTATAATACCTGTACTGGAGAAAGATTAAAACAAATAAACCTTGGAAACTTGTTAGACAGTAATATGAAAAATGTTGCAGTGACAGTAAGTGGGATATGTGGCTGTGTGTGCTAATGTGCTAAACTGCATATGTGAAAAATGTTGAGAGTACTTGCGAATAATCGGAAGCACAAAAGCACAGCATATAATTTGTGGATGGAATTAAGTTTTCCTTAAACCATCTTAGAATGTCAGATGTTGTGTATGCTACTCTGCTACTCTATGTAGCTGAGGTACAGTAAATACTGTCAAAATAAATAAAATCTCTTACCGTGCATATATGCTGCTTACACTTCCCTGGCAGATGCTAGTAAGATGGACAAGATTTAAAAGGTAAATCCCAGATGTGAGGCTTTTTGAGTACAAGTTGAAAGACAATTCAAAGCTATTTCTATGAAGTGTGCCCAAATATTACTATGAATGTGAGAATTACCATTTGACTAATAAAAAAGGTGCTCTAGTTGTAGTTTCTGACAAAAACCTGCATAAGACGGATTTCAGATAAGCACCCTTGACCAAGGAAACCTCCATGTTAGTATTTCACTGACCAGATCTTACATCACTTTTTCTTTACATTTTGTCTTTTTCTTAAGCCTATGCTTTATTGGCTCATTTTCTGTCACAGGAGATATAAAGCTTTTCCTGTTCTTCTCTAGTAGTTTCCATTGCATCGACATGTGGGAGATGCTTAGAAGTCTTGCTCATCTCCTAGAATATTCTTGATGACTGCAAGAATTTCCTTGCTGGTGGGGTGTCTTTGGGTTTTGTTTGTGTTTTTGTTCGTCTTATTTTGTTTACAAATTGAATCTGGAAAGAAAAAGATCTTTTGAAGATCATTAATTTATGAGTGATCTATCCTTGAAAACTAGGATCTGAAGCATAGATTTTCTCTTGGTTTATGCAGGCTCCTACTAAATATCATAGATTGCAGGTACTAGAAAATCCTGGACTTTACCTCATTGGCTAATAAGAGGTTACAGGAGTTCAGGACTTAATTCAAAGTTAAAGTCAACACAAGTCTGTTTATGTCTTTGAACTAAAGGGTCAAAAATTTACTACCTCTTCAGATTTCAATCTTTCCAAAGTATATGCATAAGCCCCAGGTTCCTTCCTTCCTTTTTGTAACTTTTCAGGTTCTCTTGATGTTTTTCTGGGGCAGGCAAGGGAACCAGAAGAGCTGACTGGGAGTACACAATTTTCACACTCACTGAAGTCAAAACTCCTATAGTGCATGTCAGCAGGCAGCAGTGATGCTTCTTATAGCAGTAACTCCTAGACAGAGATGTTCACACTCCTCACCATCACCTAAAGAAATTTGCATTATACAACAGAAGACCTGTCAAAGATAAAAAAAGTTTGTTAAAAATGTAGATCTATCCTTTTAAATATCTTTATGAAAACTTTGGATATTTGTATTTAAGTGCAAGTTTTGATACAGTAAAATAGCATTGAGAACAAGTGTTGGCAAAAGGCTTTCTTTGTTTCAGTCTTCAACTGAAAAACAGGACAGCTGAGTGTGTATGCTTAAGTACAACAACGTAAGTAGTATCTGGTTTGCAGGGAAATACAGCTAAGACAGTGTGACCACAATCTGAAGAGTGTACAACAAAGAAATGTGTTTTATCCAGGATTACTGTAAGCACAGTTGGCATAAACCCCATGATTTTCTGTCTTAACTGTATACTTGCAGTTTCCTGTAAACAATAATGTGAAATAGTAGGTAGCCATTTATTGTTTGTTGTTGTGGTTTAACCCCAGCCAGACAGCTTGTTCACCCACTCCCCCCCCTCTTCTTGCCCTCCCCCTACTCCTGGAGAGACGGAGAGGAGAATCAGAAAGAATGCAACTCCCACGGGTTGAGATAAGAACAGTTTAGTAACTAAAGTATAACACAAATCACTACTGCTACCACCAATAATAGTAATGATAAAGGAAATAACAAGGGAAGAGAATACAACCAGGCGACCCCAGACTCGCCCCCCCAGCCCGAATAAGCACTGACCAATGCCTCCTCTCACCCTGCAGTCCCAGCCTCTCCAGGAACTCTCCGGTACATCCTGGGCATGACGTGCTGTGGTATGGAATACCTCTTTGGTCAGTTTGGGTCAGGTGTCCTGTCTCTGCTTCCTCTCGGCTTCCCCTCCTCCCTGGCAGAGCATGAGGCTCACAAAGTCCCTGGCCAAACCAAAACATCATTTTTCCCAGCCTGAAAGTCAAAACACAGCACTGCACCAGCTACCAAGAAAGAGAAAAATGACTGCTACTGCTGA